AGGTTTGGTTTGGTCTTGGCTTTATTAGCTATATCATTTTCATACCTTTTCTCAGCTGCTCTTCTCACACTAACGTACTCGTTCCTGGTCCTCTGGTATCTCTCTCTACTTTCTGGTGTTCTGTTATTAAGGAAGTTCCTCCAAGCCCTTTTGTTCAGCGCCTTTGCTTTTATACATTCCCTATTAAACCACGGATTCCTCTTTTGCTTCTCTGTTTATTCCTGTTGGGCTCGGACAAACCTGCTTACAGCCTCCTGACACTTTTGGGTGACATAGTCCATCATGTCTTGTACGGACTTGGTTCTGAGTTCTGTGTACCAATGTATATTCCTTAGGAATTTATTCATCTCCTCATAGTTTCCCTTTCGGTATGCCAGACCTTTGTTTCCCAGTTTTTTTGGGGGGGTGATAATTCCTAGCTCAACCAGGTACTCAAAGTTCAATACACTATTATCACTCATTCCCAAGGAGGCTTTCAACTTAAATTCCTTTATATCTGACTCATTTAGGGTAAATATCATATCAAGCAAGGCTGGTTCATCCCCTCCTCTCATTCTTGTCGGTCCCTTGATGTGTTGACTTAGAAAGTTTCTTGTTGCCACATCCAGCAGCTTAGCTCTCCATGTGTCTGGGCCTCCATGTGGGTCTCTGTTCCCCCAATCTATCTTCCCATGGTTGATGTCTCCCATGATTAGTAGTCTGGATCCGTTCCTGCTAGCCACAGAAGCTGCTCTCTCTATTATATTGATGGTGGCCAGGTTGTTTCTATCATATTCCTGTCTGGGTCTTCTGTCATTCGGTGGGGGGTTATATATGACTACTACTATAATTTTCTGTCCTCCAGTTGCTATGGTGCCTGATATGTAGTCACTGAAACCTTCACAGTTCTGAATTACTATCTCTTCAAAACTCCAACCTTCTCTTATTAGCAAAGCTACACCACCTCCTCCTCTCCCTTCTCTCTCTTTCCTCACTACATAGTAGCCCTGTGGAAACACTGCATTAGATATGGTTTTCGTTAGCTTTGTTTCTGTGAGTGCTATTATGTCTGGGTTTTCTTCTTGTGCCCATTCTCCGAGTTCACTTGTTTTATTTGAAATCCCATCTATGTTAGTGTACATTGTCTTGAAGCTCACTTTCTTCTGTTCATTTTCTTGTCCATTTCTTGGCGAGCATTCTGCTGGTGTGGGAAGCTGTTCCTTTGGGTGAGAAGATCTGTGAGGTGGTTTGCAGGGTCTCAGAGGATTTTGGGGTGGGGGGTGGGGGTTTAAGGGAAGGGGGGACAGGTACGGATGGGTTAAGGAGAAAGGGGGGACATGGAGGATATGGGGTGAGGGGGGTGAGGAGAGATAGGGAGGGTATGGGATGAAGGAGGGAAGGGGAAAGGTGGGAGGGGGGACATGATGGGAATGGGGGAGGGGTGACAGGGTCAGAATGGGGTGGGGGGGGGAGGGAGAGTTGGGTGAGCATTTGGGTGGGGGCAGGTAGGGTGAGGGGAAGGGAGAATTTCTATGCAGAGGGGGGTGGTGGTGTTGCTCCCCCCTCTGGTGTTGCTGGGATGCTGGTTGTGGGTTCCCCTCTTGTCTCTGGGACTGTTGTGTTGTGGGCTGTGGTTTCCTGGTTTACTCCTCTCTCCCTGCGCTTCCTCCTTGCCTCTGCTGCCCTGGCTCTCTCCTCCTGTGTGTTTGTGTACTTACCCATTAGTGTCTACAGGGGAGTGAGGTCTTGCTGTTTATGCCCCGCCTACTAACTTTGTACCTGTTGTGTTACAAACTAACTACTCTGACTTTCAAGTTGTATGTCAAATCAGGCCTTGAAGTTGTTGATGGAGATGGCTTCCACAACTTCCTCTAAAAGAACATTCCATTTGCTAACTACACGTACAGGGTAGGCGTATATTCTTACGTCCCTTCAGCTCATTTGTTTTTGTAGCTTAAACCTGTGTCCTCTTGTTCTGCTTTTTCTCAGTCTGAAGAGATTATCTACGTCCGCGGGATCTATTCATTTCAGTAACTTGAAAGTTGTGATCATATCCCATCAGCTCCTTCTATCCTTTAGCATCGTGAGATCTAGTTCCATTAGTGTATGTTCGTAGCATAGCCCTCTTAGCTCTGGCACTAATCTTCTTGTAAACATCTGTACTTTTTCTATTTTGGCTTCGTTTCACAAGCTGCGAATTCCATGCCGGTGATCTGTGCAACCAATATTCTAATATTGGTTGCACAAATATTGTGAAGATTGCTATAAAATAGAACTGATTCATGTTCCTAAGCGATGTTCTTGTATTTGACAACGTCCCATATGCTGCCGATGTTACCCTATTTTTGTTTGCCTCTGGTGTGAGTGTCTTATATAATTATAACCACTCCCAGACCCCTTCTCTCTTTCTGATTTCTGTAACTGTCATACCCTTATGCTGTAGATGTCTTCTGACCTCCTCTTACTTTCCCATCCACATTTCCTTACACTTGTTTGGGTAATGACTAATGACTCGACTCTA